GATAAGGAAGATGGACGTCGGAATTAAAGCTTGTTCGAACTGACAAGTGAGATGCAACCACGTTGATTGTGACATGCCCCACTCGCCTAAGTACTACCAGCCATTCATTTGAGAGCCAATTGGGGAGGAAACAAATATTTGGCTTATTATCCCATGTTTATCATTTTTCCCAATTTCGTAGATCGGAGCTCATGATGTCAATTGTCAATCACTTGATTGTCTGGTCCAAACTCGCCGTCATACAGCTGAAATATTGCTGAGTGCGATGTTAAACACCAAACAAACAAATAAACAAACTCATGTTCAAGGTTGATTAGAGCTTCGTTCAGTATTTACGCCTATATTATGCATGCATATGATCTAAATAATATGCTTACGTGTGTGCGAGCGTGTGTGTGTGTGTGTTTGTGAGAAATATGCGGGAAATACCCACCTGTTCAGAAAATGGACTTGTCCGACATTGCTGAGGTCGGAATAAATTGAGGGAGTCATCATTATTAAAATACGGGTAAATATTGTGAAAGCTTGTACATTTTATCATCATCCTTATAGAGGCAGTACATAATGTTGATATCTCATATAAGAAATAAACGACTCGCCCCTCATGGTTTATTCTCCCTGCAGTGTTTTATTGTACGACAAACAACTCCCACTCGTCGTTTATTTCTTAAGTAAAGCGTCATAGAACGGGCCTTTTCAGATGAGATCATAATATTCGTATTCGTGGACACATTCGTTTTTTCCTCGTTGCGATCACCTATTACATAATAATGTAACATTATAGAGCAGGATTTTTAACTAAGTTCGTTTTATCTGTGTTCATCCATTTAACCGTATGTAGGTATCGTATGTAGATCCCATCTGTATAGGCGATTATGTGACGTTCGTGCTAATTAAGATAAAAAGTAGATTTCGATAAGTTAAATCGATTAATACCCGCGTTTGTCATATCAATATTGGTTATATATTCACTATAAAGAATCGCTCATTATGACTCCAGCATAACAATGCTGTATCACAACAGATGAAAATTACAGCTTCGGCACCTTCCAAACGCAATGACTGGTGGCGCAATGTGTTCGGCCTAGAAAGTACGTAATTAACTAAAGGTCCAGTGTTTTGTATGCGAGTTGGCTCTTGTCTAGTTAAGAGAACGGACCTGGCGTTATTTTGAAAATGCTGCCTGAGATATAGGGTGTATACTATATCCCCCAGTGGTCAGAATGAGCTCGGATCTGAGCAGAGATTGTGGAGTTTCAAGTTACAAAATGACAATCCATTAACAGGCTCAGTGCTGGTCCTTATGCAAAGGGGCCTTGGGGTGGTGGATCTTTATGACAGATAACGGAGATCCTATTCCCAAGCAAAAACCACTGTGTAACACAGTATGTAGGTTTGTTTCAGGAAAATAGATTCTTTATTACAGTATAAAGGCCAAAGGCCCATAATACATGCTTGATTTTATTAACATGTACTGCGCTTACGCTAATATAAAGGCAGATGTACAATCATATGCAAGAAAGTGTGGTACATGTTTCAAATGTTGCCAACAGTTGTTTAACATTGAGACATTATGTTTCATTGAACTATAAATATCACTCATCATTTAAGAGTGCAGTTCCGTGTTTATAAACTTTATGTAAATACTGACAAGTATCATGAATAACATAATTATCTGATGACCTAATACTTTTGCAAGTAAGTGTGGTACATGTTGTTTAACATTATAAATAGTGTGTTTGAATGAACTATAAATATCCCACATCCTTTAAAAGTGCAGTTCTGTGTTTATAAACTTTATGTAAATACTGACAAGTATCATGAATAACATAATTATCTGGTGACCTAATACTTTTGCAAGAAAATGTGGTACATGTTTCAAATATTGCCAACAGTTGTTTTACATTATAAATAGTATGTTTGAATAAACTATACATATCACACATCCTTTAAGAGTGCAGTTCTGTTTATATTAACTTTATGTTAATACTGACAAATATCATGAATAACATTATAGTTATCTGATGACCTAATAATTTTGCAAGAAAGTGTGGTACATGTTTCAAATATTACCAACAGTTGTTTAACATTATCAATAGTATGTTTGAGTGAACTATAAATATCACACATCCTTTAAGAGTGCAGCTCTGTGTTTATAAACGTTATGTAAATACTGACAGGTATCATGAATAACATAATTATGTGATGACAGAATACTTATGCAAGAAAGTGTGGTACATGTTTCAAATGTTGACAACAGTTGTTTAACATTGAACATTATGTTTAAATGAACTATAAATATCACTCATCCTTTAAGAATGCAATTCTGTGTTTATAAACCGTATGTAAATACTGACAAGTATCATGAATAACATTATAATTATCTGATGACATAATACTTATAAACGCCTGTAATGAGGCTGATCAAAAGTGCTTAACAATGTACATACTTCTTAAGGTATCATACTGTTTACACACAAGTAATACATGATGTTCATCTTCAATAGATGAAATACCTTCCTTGAGACAAAAAGGGCACAATCGCATTAAGTATTCAATATTATTATAACGTCCCGTTTCTATTGCAAGTCCATAATTACCACATCTAAATCTTGACATGGCTCTCCTGATAGATAAAGGTAGATTATAGGATAGATACAATTCAACATTGAGTAATGACTTAAACTACCTATAATAATATGAACTACCTAGTTCTGCAACCCATGTTTGAATGTTGAAATAAATGTATCAATATGACCCACATCCTGTGCAACCCAAACAAATCCAAATCCAAATTGAAACAGAATATGTTTTATATGTGTGACCCAATTTACTCTGCACTCTCATCCTGTGATAACATCATGCTATAACATTGAAATGGTAATCTATTGTCATTTAAATTAATAAGTTTAGTCCAATATTTAACTGCTCTTGTCATATAAATATACTGGAGAGGAATTCTTCCACATTCCCCTAGAACCATATTATTTGTAGTACTTTTACCAACTTTAAGTATCCATTTACATAACTTTATCTGTACACTTTCAACTCTCCTACAGTAATTCACACCCCATATCTCTGCACCATAACAAAGAATGGGTACAACTGTAGCATCAAATATTTTAAACAAATCTTTACATGATAAATTACCAAATTTCCTGGAATATGTATAAATAGCCAATAAAGCCTTTTGTGCTTGGGCGGTAAGTGAAAGATGTGCCTTACTCCAAACAAGTTTGGGCGTTAAAACCAGACCCAGATATCTATATTACGATGCAACATCAATCTGTTTTTCCATAAAATACCACTTCTCATATGCACGCAAAGGGCCTCCATTACGAAAAACCATTATCTTTGTTTTATTCAAATTAACTTTCATACCCGTTGCATCACAAAAGTGTTGCAAGGCATATATCTTTTTTTGTAACTGTAAACACGAAACTGCCATAGATGACACATCGTCAGCAAACATCAAAACAAACATCTCTTTAAAGGAAGGTGAAACATAGACACCCCTGCCACCAGTTTCTTGCATGAAGTACATTTACTTGTTTATAAAAATAATAAAAAACTGCGGGCTTAAGGTACATCCCTGCCTCGCACCAATGTTACACCTAAAATAATTTGATAAACCACCAGAGAGTCTTACACAAGCACTTAAATTTGAATATATTGAAACTATTATAAATATAATGACAGTATATTGCTATCCTCCGGAAAATGAGGGCTGAAAGCCTGAAGTGATGCAGGTCTCAGACGTTTACCACTTTGGTGAAACCCACAAGCACGGGTATGGTGCTGACAAACCTATAAACATAATCATGACGGACCTAGCTTCAAACCATAGGTTTCTCGCGTGCCCAAAGAACGCACCTCTCTGCACAGTGAATTGCGGTGCCGTAGACGACTGGCCAGTCGTTCCCCTGTCGATCGTGAGGAATTAAACCGCGAAAGGAGACACCGGACAACAGCAACAAATAATATAACACATGAAATGTATCTGGGAACACTTCGTCCAAGTTTACCATTTTAATTTAATTATTAGTTAAACAATGAAACTATGCCTCTATTTATACAAATCCATAGTTTCAGTATCAAGGTTTTTAAAATAATAAAGCATTGTACTTTGCGACAAACAAAAAAAGTGACAACAATTAAAGTAAAATAGTCTGTCTTCAGAATGTTTTCATGGAGGTTCGGGAGAGAGGACATTTCTGAAAACAGTGTTACAATCCTGAAATATTCCACAGAATCTTCGAGGAGACACTTTTCGGAGAGCAATGTACCGGCGGGCAGTTGTAGAATCGAAAAATACATGTTGAATACATATTGGCGAGCAGCCTAGCGTCCTGTCTCATTGACGGCGTCACGTCGATTGTCAGCATGAGTGATTTGCTGGAGTGACACGACTGGAAACTAGCCTTCAACTGGTCCGTTCATTTTGAATTATAATTGTTTCCTGCCTATAATACCATGCTATTGTCATTAGCCTATTGGTCCTGCTGAAAGAAAGCGTTCTCCACTAGACTACACCCACACAATACTTAAATAGCTAACGGTAGTTTAATAGTAAGTTACACTGCGCATCGCCACAGACACATCAGATGCATGCATACAGCTTGTCAATATCTGCATGGGTGTATACAAGTTATAACACACTTGACTAAACAACCAAACAAACTCTCCCTGGATTTTGTATCGAGATTAGATATTTTTTTGCAGCTAAAGCCACAAAGCCAGATACATGATTTCATTTAAAGCTATGAAATTTTAATTTTCATGAAAATATTAATTTTATTTTAAGAAAATCTCCTTGCGACAATGGGATTTATGTAGCAGGCAATTTCGTTTTCTTGTATACAGTCTGAGCTATATTTATTTAATTCAAGAATTTTCAGAAAATCCAATATTCGGTCCCTAAGTAGCATGACACGTTTTTGAGACATGTTATCTTCTTTTAACCCTGCACTTGGTGGGATATGAAGTTATGGAGAACTTACCTTCCCACGCTGACGAGGCTTCAGTAGCGGTGGCGGTAGATGTCATGGCTCGTATATCCACAGACTGTTGCAGCACACACAAATGACGAATCTTGTTCTGTGCGCGGATTGTACGTTAAACAGATGCAGGTCTGTACAAACTCTCTCGTACCATAAAGTCTACGCACAGAATGGCAAAGGCCAACATTGCCATTCCCATGTAGACATAATGCTATATTACGTATATCAATCCATAGATCAAAACGTCCTTTCTCGAAGCCAAAGTTCCAAGACAAACGCCGGCAATGCTTCTATATTGTGAATCATTGTGCATCCAGTCAGGAGGACTCCGAGAGATGGTGTGTTATTGTCCGTACTTCTGTGTGCGGATACATGACGACTGTTCCAAAACCCAACAAATCTCTACTAATTCTATCTCCGTGAAGGTACGGACGCTAAGAACCCAGCGCCACAGGACCACAGAGAGCATCAGTCGAGATGCCACATCGATCCTTCCTCGCCAATAAGCCACCTTAACACGAGTGGAGGAAATAATTTCTGACAAGACTTAGAACATTAGCGCACGTGATGACAACACAGGCAGCGGCTGGGCCAAGTGTTCTATTGCCTCCCTCCATATCTTCCCCCAGACCTGGCGACATGTCCTGAATCCATCTCATTCGCACTCCAACTTCTCGACACTGCTGTGCTAATGGTCCTGTAACAACTCAGAACGGCGCTCGATCAACACACCTGTTCATCTGAGAGCACAGACGAGGCTATTTTGGACGATCGAAGACAAATTAGCAGCCATTTACTCCCGTGGACTGTCCGATTCCAACAGTTCATCCAATTTGTCGGCAGAGGTGGAGAATTTTACAGAACGAACTTGCATGGCATTTTACATCTAGGAGTCTCAGGCTTTTACCTATATATAGAAAGATCCGATCAGAAATCGGCCAAATGCGTATTGCGTGAGGAGCTGCTTCGTCCAATTGAAGCGTATATGCGAATATGACTTAAGACATAAACGTCTTTAAGGACGCTGCCGTTTAGAACTTAGAGATCATTGATATTGGTTGTGTTTCAGTGATACATTATCAATTGACTTTAATGGAAGGTGCAAAAAATCGAATAAATGCATGAATGGATTAGGAAAGGATCTGAAGCGGATGTAAAAGGTTATGTCTAAGGTGAACCTGTAATAGTCTAGCCACATGCCCTCCGTGATGTGTTGGGTTGATAAAATAATACTTTTTTCACTTGGGGGTTTGTTTTGCCTTGTCAGATATAGATACACATATACATACAATCATAAGATAATGGTAGCTATATATTGTTCCTTGATAGGAAAACTGGTGTGCTCTGAAACGTCTTGGCAATGATGTTCGTATGCGACATGCTATCTCAGTGTCAGCTTGTATTTAATATGGAACATCGATCAAGGTCAAAGGGTGGAACATCGATAAAGGTCGAGGGGTAGAACATCGATCTAGGTAGGGCCTGGGGTAGAACATCGATCTAGGTAGGGCCTGAGGTAGAACATCGATCTAGGTAGGGCCTAGGGTGGAACATCGATCTAGGCAGGGCCAGGGGTAGAACATCGATCTATATAGGGTCTGGGGTGTGACATCGATCTAGGTAGGTCCTGGGGTGGAACATCGGTCTAGCTAGGGTCTGAGGTGGAACGTCGATCTAGGTAGGGCCTGGGATGGAACATCGGTCTAGCTAGGGTCTGAGGTGGAACATCGATCTAGGTTGGGCCTGGGATGGAACATCGGTCTAGGTAGGGTCTGAGGTTGGACATCGATCTAGGTAGGGTCTGAGGTGGAACATCGATCTAGGTAGGTCCTGGGGTGGAACATCGATCTAGGCAGGGCCAGGGGTAGAACATCGATCAAGGTAGGTCCTGGGGTGGAACATCGATCTAGGTAGGTCCTGGGGTAGAACATCGATCTAGGTAGGGCCTGAGGTGGAACGTCGATCTAGGTAGGGCCTGGGGTGGAACATCGATCTAGGTAGGGCCTGAGGTGGAACATCGATCTAGGTAGACCCTGAGGTGGAACATCGATCTAGGCAGGTCCTGGGGTAGAACATCGATCTAGGTAGGGCCTGAGGTGGAACATCGATCTAGGTAGGGCCTGAGGTGGAACATCGGTCTAGGTAGGGCCTGAGGTGGAACATCGATCTAGGTAGGGCCTGAGGTGGAACATCGATCTAGGTAGGGCCTGAGGTGGAACATCGGTCTAGGTAGGGTCTGAGGTGGAACATCGATCTAGGTAGGGCCTGAGTTGGAACATCGATCTAGGTAGGGCCTGAGGTGGAACATCGATCTAGGTAGGGCCTGGGGTGGAACATCGGTCTAGGTAGGGCCTGAGGTGGAACATCGATCTAGGTAGGGCCTGAGGTGGAACATCGATCTAGGTAGGGCCTGAGGTGGAACATCGGTCTAGGTAGGGCCTGAGGTGGAACGTCGATCTAGGTAGGGCCTGGGGTGGAACATCGATCTAGGTAGGGCCTGAGGTGGAACATCGATCTAGGTAGACCCTGAGGTGGAACATCGATCTAGGCAGGTCCTGGGGTAGAACATCGATCTAGGTAGGGCCTGAGGTGGAACATCGATCTAGGTAGGGCCTGAGGTGGAACATCGGTCTAGGTAGGGCCTGAGGTGGAACATCGATCTAGGTAGGGCCTGAGGTGGAACATCGATCTAGGTAGGGCCTGAGGTGGAACATCGGTCTAGGTAGGGTCTGAGGTGGAACATCGATCTAGGTAGGGCCTGAGTTGGAACATCGATCTAGGTAGGGCCTGAGGTGGAACATCGATCTAGGTAGGGCCTGGGGTGGAACATCGGTCTAGGTAGGGCCTGAGGTGGAACATCGATCTAGGTAGGGCCTGAGGTGGAACATCGATCTAGGTAGGGCCTGAGGTGGAACATCGGTCTAGGTAGGGCCTGAGGTGGAACATCGATCTAGGCAGGTCCTGGGGTAGAACATCGATCTAGGTAGGGCCTGAGGTGGAACATCGATCTAGGTAGGGCCTGAGGTGGAACATCGGTCTCGGTAGGGCCTGAGGTGGAACATCGATCTAGGTAGGGCCTGAGGTGGAACATCGATCTAGGTAGGGCCTGAGGTGGAACATCGATCTAGGTAGGGCCTGAGGTGGAACATCGATCTAGGTAGGGCCTGAGGTGGAACATCGATCTAGGTAGGGCCTGAGGTGGAACATCGATCTAGGTAGGGCCTGGGGTGGAACATCGGTCTAGGTAGGGCCTGGGGTAGAACATCGATCTAGGGCCTGGGACGTAACATTGATCTAGGGCCTGAGGTGGAACATCGATCTAGGTAGGGCCTGGGATGGAACGTCGGTCTAGGTAGGGTCTGAGGTGGGACATCGATCTAGGTAGGGTCTGAGGTGGGACATCGATCTAGGTAGGGTCTGAGGTGGGACATCGATCTAGGTAGGGTCTGAGGTGGAACATCGATCAAGGTAGGGCCTAGGGTGGAACATCGATTTAGGTAAGGCCTTGGGTGGAACATCATGGATACCAACCCCCCATCTGTTTCCCAGTAATCAACTATTTTTATGATGCTGTAACTACCCGTGGCCAGGCCAAGCTGGGGCATACAATCACATCCCTCACCAGGCATTCTTTCTAATTTCCTTTGCGCAGCTTCCCATGTGCTTTGCGTAAAAAACAATGTTTCTAATTCTGTGAGTATCTAACTAATTCTTCCCAAGAAAACAATGTCAAATGGGTTTTTTAAACCATAGTACAATATCCATGCATTTGTCGCGTGCTCTTCTCTTGCAGATCTTGTGTATTGAAATAACGAAAAAACTAATTCAAATTCACAATTGCTTTTATTCAAAATGTGGAACTGTGTGTTATAACCCAAACAATATTGAGCACCTGGTCATGTTGAAGAAAAATAACTGAAGAAAAAAAACGCTGATCTGAATCGAAAACACACGCAGTGTCTCAGCAACCTGAAACGGGTATCACAGCTGTTTTTCTTACCTTAGACCGCCTCCGTGGCCTAGTGGTAGAGCGTCCGCCCGGAGAGCGGAAGGTCCGGGGTTCGATACCCGGCCGCGTCATACCAAAAGACGTTAAAAGATGGTACTTGTTGTTACCCTGTCTGGCGCTCGGCATTAAGGGGCTAAAACAAGGACTGGTGGGCTCGGAGTCAGTTTTCTGTGTCTGAGTGGGGTATTCATGTTAAAATGCGGCATGGTATCTCAGTGAGCTAGCACTATAAATCGGCATCAGTCCGGACTAGTACAAGCAGCCACACAAACACACACACGTGCATGCACGTCGCTATATAAGTGCAATAATCTTGGAGGCGACGTTAAATCCAATTTCACTTCACCTTCTTACCTTAAGTTTGCAGTGTTTCGTTGACTGTTTTCAGCCTGGATACGTTTTGATAACGTTTGTACTTCTGGGTGAAAATCCAATTTCAACTGAATTCTTTCTCTTTGATCGAAAATTTATGTGTTCTTGGGTCTGTAATTGAGATTACATTTTATGTAAAGCCTCTTTTTACTTTCATTGCAATAAGGATATTTTCTTTCCGGATATTAGGAAATTACTCCATTGTGTGTGTTCTATGACGTGTCGAGTGGAGTTCAGCCTTGTCTCAGTATACGTTTAAGTCAGGAATCTTCATCTTCATTTTTCATTACACTTTTCGACTTATCTTATTTCCATGGCAACCACTCGCTGCTCCCCGTGGCATTAACAGGTCATTATAACTAGACGATTGACGCTGAACTATCTGAGTAATCACACGTTGATGAGACACGTACTTCCTAATAGCTTTTTGGGAATGGTTGGTGTAACTAACAGGTGTTGCCGCTGATGAAGAAGCGTCAGTCGATGTTAGGTAATTGTCAGTACTGATGGTGTGTGACCAATACGAGGATTGTCCACAGCGTGCAGTCGGTTTTAACACCCAATACTCATTATGGTCACTTTTAGAAGCGTTGTGCAGCCTTCGAAATTCACGTTAGTCCGCTAGCCCTAGACTACTTAATTGTGCAGAGGACTAGTGAAAATGTAATGATGGTAATCCGCATTCACTAGTAGCAATTAAGGGGTACACATTGGAACCAGTTCTAAATACTACAGTTTTGCTACAAATTAGAACTGAGAAATATCGACCAAAAGAGTAAATATAGGTTTTGTCTTCAAGCAGGACTACTTTCAAACTCCGAGGACCAGTGAAATAGGTTTTACTCTAGTTCCCTGGATTAGTCCTTAAAAAGAATTTCTAAGGTTGGTTGTGTACTTTGTGTGTCTCTCTATTCGGGGTTCTTCACGCAGGGTCAGAGTGGGTTATTTAACTTATTGCGAGAAAAGCGTATGAAACGCGCGCAAACACAAATTAAACAAAATTATGCATGTGAACAGATGCAATTTATCAGCCATCAGAAACAGCATTGTAAGCAGAAGTAATTTCAAAACATAGCTTGTCATCATTGGACGAAGGACCAGATTTGACGCGCAGTGCATAGTCAGGGAATCCCCTATTTTCGAGGAACCCGTGTGACTTCATGTGTTTCATAGAAGGCATTGTACGATGGAATTACCCTGATCAATGCTGACGGACAAAAGAAAGTATACACCCATGTTTAATGGTGGTTAAATATGAAACAACCAAACATGGTTATTCGGTTGGTCTCGGCAACATTCTTCAGCCTAGTTACCCAGTTAGGATAACATTTGTAATGTTTAGGTCAAATCCAATTTTCAAGTCTTAGTGCAAATTGAATTCCCGAATAACACAATACTGTATTGTAATATCAAAGCCGTTGCGTAGAGATAACAGCCAACTTGATCTTAAGTAACTAGACAGTGAGTGAGTGAGTGAGTATGGTTTTACGCCGCT